AAAAGTTATAAGAAAATGTGATTTTGCATAACCATGAAAAGATTAAGGAATTAGGGATTTTTATGCTACTACGGTAAAACTACTATATATTAATTATAATTTTTATTATAAATTTTTTATTATAAATTTTATATATATAATATTTTTATATTATTAATAAATTAAATATAATTTTAATATATAATAACTATATAATTAGAAGATTAATTAAATATAATAAAGATTGAAATTTTTTCTTTATATTAAACCTTATAAATTTATTATTAAAATTTAATTAATAAAAATTTTTATATAATTTTATAATTAAAATAACTCTCAGAAAATCAAAAAAATATATATTAAATTATAACTTATAAATTTTATTTTAATATAAAATAAAAATTATTTTTTAATAAAATTATAAAGTTTAATATAGAAAAAAATTTTAATTTTTATTATATTTTATTAATAAAATTAATTTTTTAATTTTAAAATTATAGGAGTTATTATAATTTGAAAGAAAAAAATTAAAAAATTATGATTATATTAAATCAAGTAATTAATAAATTAAATATTAATTATAATTAAAACTTTAAAATAATAATTTAATAAATACTTATAAAAATTAAATATACTATATATTTTTAATAATAAATAAACTTAAAAATAAATATCTCTCTTTTTTAAATTAAAAAAATCTTAAAAAATTAAATAAGTAATCTTTTTATTTAAAAATAATTTATTAAATTAATTAAATTTTTATTATTTAGTAAAATTATTATTTATATTAATTAGTTTATTTTATAATATTAAATATTTTTTTATTTTTGATTATAAAAATAATAAAATGATAAGTTACTTATTTTTGAAATATATAATAATATTTTAATGGATTTTTATTTCGAAATTATTTTAAAAAATTTATAATTATAAAATTTAATAAATTTATATAGTAAATTATATTTATTTGAATTTGAAAAAAATAAAAATTATTTTCAAAGTTATAATTTTGAATCAAAAAATAGTAGATAATTTGTTTTTTAAATTTTTATATTATGAAAATAAAATAAGAAAATAATTAATAATTTACAAATTAATTTAGAGTTTTGTTATTAAAAAACTAAAAATATTATTTATTATTTATTATTAAATTTAATTTAAAAATAATCTTTTAATTAATATTAAAATTAGTAATATCTAAACTAGAGAAGATGTAATTTTAATTTATTAATTTTATTATATTCTTTAATTAAAGTTCTTATAATAATTCTTATATAAGTTAAAAATTTCATTTCATAGTATAATATGAATTTTGGTTATTAATATATTAAAATGTAATTATTTTTATGAATTTTATTTGTGTTTTATGCTTCATAATATTTTTTGTTTATAATTAAATGATTAAGTTATTTAAGATTATTTATAACTATTGAAAAATTGTAATAAGTTCGTTATATATTGATTTTTATTTAGTCTTAATAATTTGTATATTAAATATATACAATATATATTAAATATTTATTTAATTTATTAAGATTACTTAATTTATGGAAAATGATACTGTATTTAATTTTTGAGATTTAATTAATAATTTTTCATTTTTTAAATAGTTTTTATTTTAGAATTATTTCTTATTCAATATTTTATTAAAGATTCCTAATTATTTAAATATTAAGTTTCAACCTATTGATAACAATACATATACATGTATTTATTGGATGGTGTTTTTTAATACTTGCATATTAGATTGAGATTATAGAAAAAATTGTATATAAGAACTATATGTTCTACAAATTAAGTTTCAACTAAAATTAGTATGAAATAAACTAAATTCCTAACTTATAATAAATTAAATTTTACAAGAATTAAACAATAGAAAAGGTTTATATATCACAAACACAAAGTAGACAATTGAAAATTGTGTGTGCAATTTCAATTGGAATATGTGAGTATGTTCGTTAAAATAAATTACAAATTTCGTAATAAAAAATATGAAATGCAAATTTGCGTATGAAAGCCTTAATATTTTTTATAAAAACTTGAAAATAGTTTTTGGTATAAAATCATTTTTATGTTAAATAATGAAAAAATTTCTTAGTTTTTTTACCAAAAGAATCAATCTCTCGAAATTAATTTTTTTGGCCCTTACCACCATTATATGAAGTAAATAATAAATATTTTTGCTTAAATTTTACGTCCCCAAAATCGATATAAGTTAATATGAACTCCGTCTCTTTCGAATTCTTGCTCGCATTTGCTCCATAATTTTTGGTATTCTTCTGGTGAAATATTCATGAATGTTTGAAGATGCGGAGCGAGTACAATTTTAAAGTATATTGCTAAATTTTCCGCAAACAAAATTCCAGGTTTACCACCAGGATGACCGGCTGTTACCCTTCGAAGATCGAATTGTATTTTTGAAAGTGAATTTGAGTCGGCAAGAAGCGAGTCAAGTTTTAGAACAATTTGTGGATCTACACCCCTTTTTGACAGCAATCCCTTAACTTCGATAAGGAAAAAATTTAATTTAGGAATGTTTATTTTAAATTTGAAAATTTTGAAACTTTATAAAAAACTGAAAGATGGAAAGCAAAATCATTTGCTCTTACATGCATCGATTATTTTTTCAAAACCGGGGCCTATATCATTTGGGAGTAAATCCATTTCACAAATTTCGATCCAGCCTCCGGGCTTTAATAATCTTTATAAAAAATAATAATATTAGATACAGGATAAATCATATAAATTTACTGAATGGGTGATTAAATACTTTATACTATTTTCAATTGCATGTGGCCATTCTTTTTCGGTAAATGAAGTTCCGAGTGAACTCAAACGTACGAAATCAAAAGTTTCTTCGATTGGTAATACTTGTAAAATATTGCCTTTAATAAATTTAACATTACGCGGCATTATTTGTGATGGATAAACAGGGACAATATCAACACCTGTAAAATATGTCATTGGATATTCTGTGGCCATTTCTAGTAACCATGTACCTGGACCACATCTTTTGAAACAGAATAAAATTGATCAATATTAACGTATATTCGTATAAAAATTAATGAATGACTTTTGCAATTAATTATAAGATTTGTACCCAATATCAATGACGCATCCGCCCATATTTAACATATTTTCGATAGGAGACGAAAAATTACACTGCCAAAAGTGTTGACAAAGAAAATGTTGAGTTTGCATTCGGTCAATATCTTCAATTTTTGAAGGTAAATAATATTTTTTCTCAATATTTTCGACGTCTTTATCATCGGCAGTAAGGGAAACGTTGCTTTTCTTTTTCCTTAAAACTGGCGCGGAATGACTTATTCCCATTCTATCATCGGCTTATTTTTTTTATCCGAAATTGATGAATATATTTTTGATTTATTAGTAGATAGGGAAGGTATGGGTGATTGTTAATAAAAAGATAGGGAAAATGATGAAAGAATGGGACGGATGAGAGGAGGCGCCAAAAAGCTAATTGGCTAAAAAAAAGAAAGACTATATTACTTTAGTATACTAGATGTGCTTACAGTGACTAACAAGAACAATAAAAAGAATGTAAAGTATATATATAATAAAATATAAGGATGGAATAAAATATAATATAATATATAATAAAAAATAAACAAACAAAGCGTTAATAAACGATAGGGTGGAAAAAAGGAAGAAGCCTTATACTGCTTATTTATTAAGATGGAGCAAATTGCAAATAAACTTGACATCATCACCACGCTTAGTGTAACTGGACATATTAGTGGCCGCTCCTATTATTATCTAGGCAATTGTGTTTTTAATTACAATAGGCTTTTCTATTGGAGTTTGTTTAGTTAGGTTTAGGTTTAAAAAAAAAGCAAGCGAGTACTAATAATTCGGGGGAAAAATTTTGTGCCGGCTTTTTCATTGATTCGAGTAGCCTAGATTGAACCTTAATTTTTAATAATAGAATGTATTAAGTTGGTGGCATATTATTGCTTGCATATAATTTTATTTACTTTACGAAACTTCAATAAAGTACTAATTTTTTGAGTTTTATTGCCGGCTAACAGTGCTACTTTGCGAAGTTTCAATAGAAAATTATTGATTTTAAATTTGGCATTACGAATAAATCTCATTACATGTGCATGTATATGCTAATTGTTTTCTACAAATAGAACTTTTGTTCAATTATTATATAAAAGTGTTACTAATAAAATGTTATATAATATTTATATTACCTAAAGAAATAAAGTTTTACTTGCTCAACATACATTACATTTTGATCAAAAGACTTTATATACATACTATAAATAAATATTTGGTTAAAGTTGCCTAATAAATCATATTTTAGTAAGCCAAGTTCCATGTTTCGACAGCTATATACTAAAATCCGGCTTTTGACCAGCTAGTTTGATTTTTAACAAGTATATTAATAAGATTATTATAATTTGACAAGCACATATATGTTAAATACATGTATATATGACGGATTACGTACGAACTCGTTAAAAATAGGGAAGAAGGAAATTTTGACAGAAAATTCGTTTAGCATAGATCTGTTGTGTAAGCTAAATATAAAAGAAAAATATTTCGGTATTCTAAAAATTGACTTGTATGAGCAATGTCTTTGGTTGGAATACGTAATGAATGGGAGGTGTTACTTACTACATGCATTAGTGCACGGACGTTAAATATTGAAATTTGGGCATTCTGAGCGAGCGCGCGCAGCGTGAAAAATAATGCACTTGCTATGCGCCTTTCCTAAAAATCTGGGTACTAATTTTTATGCTATTAATACATCGTTCTACTATAAAACAGTTACGTATTTCGAACCGATGTTTTCTATCTTTTCAATGAATAGTCTCTCCATTTCTAATCTATTTTGCACCGCAATTTATTTATTGATTCGTTTATAATTCCAAGACCTTCCAATTTCGTTTATTGAATAAATAGAAAAATGGGTAATTTGGCGGATAATAATTTATCCGTCAATTTTCCATTTATCGTATGACAATTAATTGCACATCAAATCTCGAATTAACCTGAGAGTTTGAATTATAAAACAGTTTCCCTTATTTAACCTGCGTGTAAATAGATTAAATTATTACATTTACGCACACAATGGAATGCACAAACTTTTGTGTAGGATTATTTGCAGATTCCATTTGTAAGAAAATGCACGCGAGACGCGATGATATCAGTTATTACTTACGTGTTTGTGGCTGCAGACGGAGAATGCATCAATTGAAACAAAAGGAGATAATTGGTAAATCAATTCATGAAGCACTGTCATCTCAAGATGGCATGAATTTTCAGTTTTCTTAGTTTTCTTTGAACTTTATTAATGGACGAACAATATTTCAGGGTTTGAAATGCGGCGGCAATGATTTAAAATACAAAACTGTACCGTATGCTGTCGTATCATATATGCTACATGCATATCGATATATGCACAATTGAATGATTGATTATTGAAAGCCGTAAAATAAAGATTATTGACTGGTTCAAAATTAATTAAAAAACAAATAAAAAATTATAAGCCGAATACGTACCATGGTTTAATTTTAAATGTACAAATATGCGAATTCATTCTGGAAAATAAGCTTTTTTTTTCCGAACATTGCTTTTGATTGCATGAAATATCTCACGCAACATGTAAATTAAAACAATTAATATCCTCGACATGCATATACGTGAATGAAATGATAGATCTTGTTTATTTTGAAAAACAAAATGAAGCCACGAGAATAGTTGATGGTGACCTGAATGATTTGATGTTTATGTTCTAGGCTAAAATTGCTTCCATAGTTAAACGAATGAATAAATGATAGGAGTAAACGAAGTAAACTGTATTTGTAATTTGGTAATATTTTTCAGGGGCGTATTTCACTTACTCAAATATGAAATGCAAAAGATACGTATAACAGCAGGAAGGGTAATTCCTTAATTTGGACTAGATTTTGTCACAATCAGAGTATGCATTATCATATGATTGATAAAATCCTGATAATAAAATAAGTCATTTCATGCAAAAAACTAACGCCTCAAATCAAACAAATAACCTCAATCAAAAAACATACCTCATTAATTAAAAAATTAAAAATTGGCCTAACAATAACGATAATAAATTTTTTCTCTAATTAAAAACTTTTCTGACAATTCGAGTATCAAAGTAAATATTTTACAAATTATTTGTCTCGTTTAAAAAACTACGTACTGTAATGATGTCCCGTTTCTGCGCGTATTTTCAAATTTCAATGTCAATATCAGATGCACGTTAGCCTATGCCTTTTATAGAAACGAAAAGTATCTCAATAATTTTTATTATCTTCTAAAATATCAGACAATTTTGTTTTGACAAATTATTGCTATACAAAGTTCAGGTATAAAATGTTATTTAATATATAGTATCAAATCAGCAGTAGGGTGTGGCTTTTTATTTAGTACCTTTGGACTCATATAAGGAAGTACTTCACAAAATTTCTTGCTTAGATTTTTCTGTATTTGTTGGAATACTAAGTCTAAAATAAATAATATAAGGACTGTGATCTATTAATAATAATGAAAGTCATGAGATATATATACATATATATAAAAATTTCTCCTAGTGAATTTTTTCAAATAAAAATTTGATTGGAATTATTCAAATAAAGAAATAAAATTAAGATAAATATTTAATTTTATTGACTTTATCATTTATTTTTAATAAGATCAAATAATTATTTAAGCATTTTAAATTAATATTTATAGAATTTTTGATTTTTTTCAATAGATATAATATATTATCTTTTAAAATATTATAGAATTTTTGATTTTTTTCAATAGATATAATATATTATCTTTTAAAATATTATTAAGTATATTTTAATATTGATCTGATACTTTTTAAAAGATAAAACTAATATATTATTATCAATACTATATAATAATAAATTAAAAAGATTATTAAAAAATATTCTCTAATTAATATAATAAAATATTAATTGAATTCAAAGTAAATAAATAAAAAAAATTTTTATTTAATATTATTATTATAAATAGATTTACCAAGCAATATTTTGATAATTTCAATTTATTAATATTATTAAGCTATATATTAAATCAATTAATATTATAAAGTCAAATAAAATTAAAATTTATTAATTTAGCTTATAAATTCATAAAATATTATAAATAATAAGAATATTTTCTTTTTTATATTAGAATTTTTGATTATTAAAAATATATTTTTATTTATTATCTTTTAAATATTTCTAAATTAATTAAAAAAATCGAATCTGCTTGATAATATAGTAATATTTAATAAAGAAATTATATGAAATATTGATATTTTTAATTAGATTATAATAATATTTTTATAATAAGTTAATTAATTATATTATAATATGAAATTAATTTTATATTTATAATATTTTGCTTTTAACTGAACTATATATAATAATTTTTTAATTATTTTTATATTTTATTCTATTAATTTTTAAATTATTTTCTCAAATTTACAAGTATAATAAATTATAAACTTTGTAATAAATTCTAATAAAAACAAAATTTTTATATAATATATATTAATTATTATTTTATATTAAGTTTTATATTTATTTTAATCATTTAAAAAATTTTAATTAATTTATAAATATATAAAAAAAATATTTTAATAGATTTAATAAGATAAAAATTTTATTAAAAAGATTAATATTTTTTATTTATAAATATTAATTTTAATAATTTATTTTAATATTTATATAATAAATTTATAATATTAAGAAATTTAATTATTATCTATTTCTTTTTTTATTAATTTACAAATTTAAAGCTAATTCTATTATTATAAAAATTATTAAATTTTTAAAAGTATAATAAAAGATTATATAATTTTTTAATTATTTATAATAATATTATTATATAAATAATTAAATATAAAAAATTAATTTTTTCTAATTTGAAAAAAGAAAAAAAATTAAAAAAACTAATTCTTTACTAATTTGAAAAATGAAAAATTTAATTCTTTTCTAATTTGAAAAATAAAAAAGAATTAGAAAATTCAAATTATTAGAAATTTTTTTAGAAAAGTATTATAAATAATTTTTTTATAAAAAAATAATATTTTATATATAGTAATAATTAAAAGTAATATATTTAAGACTAAATTTATTAATAAATATAATAAAAAATTTTCTCTCTATATTAAAATTTATAATTTTATTAAAAAATAATTTTTATTTTTATATTAAAATAAAAGTTATTAGTTATAATTAAATATATATTTTTCAGATTTTTTAGATTTTTTCTGAAAGAATTATTCTAAT